TATCAATCAATAAAAAAATTCATAAATATTAAGAGAATTACATTTGAATAAATTATAACATAAAATTTTTACTTTAACTTTAAGACTTACACATTTTCTTTGACTCTATCTATAACACTCCCAAATTATTAGCATAAGAAAAACTCAAATTTACTCCATCAACATGATTTTATTCTAAACTTAATAACAGATAGTCTCGGACTCACCCAAACAGACAGTCTCAAGAGTCCAAGCTTAACCAAAAAGATAGTCTTGGACTCACCCAAACAGATAGTCTGATATTATCTAAAACTCTTGTCTTCTATTTGAATATTTTGAGTTTTAGTATGATCGCATCATACCTCAGCAACTTTAGACCAACAACCTAGGCCACGTGAACAACTCAAAATTATGTCCTCACAATTTGATATTTTCTCTAAAACATTCTTTCAATTATCTAAAGATCTAGAAAAAAAATCTCCTCGTATGAATACCCAATGTAGTAAAAAAAAAAAAACTAACTAAAGGCCCCCCTTTAATAATAATGGTTGTAAATAAACTGTCAATTTATTTTCAACAAAAGAAAAAAAAAATTATACATAACATTTATTTATATATATATATTAAAAACCAACCTCTAAATAAAATTTTACTTTGGACCTGATCTAGGGTGTTCGTAATTGCTGCAAAGAACACACGAAATTAATTTTCTCAAGAAAGTTGAGCCCATGGAGAGTTTTTTTAAGCCAACTGAACGAACATTCATTCTACTTCTTCCCTTTTCAAGCTAATCAAAGCATGTGATTGTGTTTCTTTTCCTTTGTCTCACTTTCCCTCAATCTTTTCGGATGGAGATGTACAAAAATCCTTATGCATGGACTAGTCCTGAATATATAAACTAGACACGCAAGATAAGGCTTTGCAATGACATTTTCAATTCAAGTTAGTGAAACAATAGCTGAAGAGTACTTTGGAATGACACTTGTGTCTTTCCACAAAGACACGCAAAACAAACATAGACCATGTTTGGGCAACAGAGAGATGAGATGACCGATCCATGTCTCACCATTTTTATAGACTTAAATAGACTATACATTGTACACCAGCTGCCTATTTTCATCTCCTTTTTTTGTGCTTTTGCCCCCCTTTCCTTTCTATCTTCTCAATTCAATTGTCATGTGCTCCTCTCTCTCTCTCTCTCCCTCTCTCTCCCTCTCTCTCTCTCTGGGCTGGCTTCGGCCCAAAGTGGCAATGCCATTGCTTTGGACCTCTGAAAAATAAGTTTAAAAAGAAAATCCCTAAATTTTGCCATTGGGCCTCTGAAAAATAAGTAAAAATAAAAGGTACCAAATTTTTTTACTTCTTATTATATTCGTCTACAAAAAAATAAATTAAAAAATAAATTAAAAAAAAATTGAAAGGAATTCGATAAAATTCCGCCAATCTACCTCTGTGGATCGGTTTTGGTCCAAAGTGGGCAATGCCACAGTTTGGGCCTCTGAAAAATGAGTAAAAATAAACGGTTTCGACGTTTTTTAACAAAACAAAACAAAACAAAAAAATTAACTAAATTTGAAAGGCCCCGATAAATTTGGTAAAAAATCAAAGCTAATAGATAGTTGATGTGGTAAATTATTTAAAACTAGTGGATAATTATTTTTATCTAAAAAAAATCGATTGATATTATGAATTATTTAAAATTAATAGAGGGTTATTTCTCAAATGCATGGATTGTGTATATAATATAATTAATTATACTATTTATAATTATTTATGAAAAAAAGAGACTTTTTGAATTTAAAGTTTTTAAATATTACCTTTTGTCAACTATATCCTGAGAAAAATTGAATGAATTAATAATTTTATCCATTAAAAATGATTAAGTTAATAAGTTAGATTATGCAAGCTTAATTAGCAATTTTGTAGTTAAAAATGTGAGAGTAGTGATATTTAAATAATATTTTATTACAATTTATTTATTTTTTATTTAGTACTTGAGTTCGGATTATTTTGCTAATTTTTTTGGATAAACTATTAATAAGTTCTAATAGTTGGATTTAATTTTCATCAAGTTTTATTAAAAATAAATTACAGTAAAATCGTCGCTAAAAATAATTTTTGTGACAGTTTTTTGTATGTCGTTAAAAGTTGACAATTAGCAACTTTTTTTGTCACGGTTTTTATAAATTGTCGCTAAAACTTAATTAGTGACATTTTTCTGTGACACATTTTTAAAGTTGTCACTGAAAATTAAAAATTAGCGACTTTTTTGTAATGATTTTTTTAAAGTATCACTAAAATTTATATTTAATGACATTTTTTATGACAATTTTAAACTGTTACTAAAAATTAACAGTTAGTGAATTTTTTTTTAATAGCTTTTGGCATTCATTATTATAAAACCTATGAAACAATAAATCTAACTATTAAGATTCACACGTAACTTTTATTTTATTTTATTGTAAACCATGTGATATATTAAAGTAAATTTTAATAAGCACTGTCAATATATATATATATATATGGGAATTGCCATATATATATATAATCTTTTGGTCACATTTTAAAAAAAGAAAATGTATTAAAGGCTCCATATTGGGTGTCTATCCGCACTGTCAATAAATTTTGTTGTAAACTATGTGGTAGATTAGCCAGCTCGCCAATCTGATATGTCAATATATGTATATATTTAATGAAAACTTTTTTTTTCCTTTTATGTTTTATGTTTTATTTTTTATTGTGACCTAATTTTTTTTTTTTTCATTTTGACCGTTCACTTTTCAATTTTTTATATTTTACTTCCAAAACTAATTTTTATTCAAAATTATATAGGAATATATAATGTCGGCCCCAATAAATATTGTTTTATTGGATATAAGTTTGGATCACAGGTGTAGGTTAAATTATTTTACCAACTCTCTATTTTATTAAATTTCACAATGTATAATAAGATGATTTCTAACTATTTCTCAGGCTACTTCTTTCTGTTTTGTTTTGATTTATTTTATTTTAAAAATCAAAGTCGTACATATGCTTTTTATTTACTAAATATTATCAACCAATAAAATGACTTCGTTAATAGTTCAAAACTTTTGAAAAGAATTTTTAAAATTTGTTGTTGGATTTATTTATTTGTTTTCCTCATAAATTACTTTTTGGACAACCTTTAGGTAATAAATTATCTTTTGTTAGTAATATACCAATATTTAAAATTAAAAAAAAAATTTATGCAAACATTTCGGCTCCTCTAGACATAAGAGTTGGGCCTAAGATTTTTCGCCCTTAGGAAAAAACCCATGAAGCATAACCGAGCTTGGACAACAATTTCATGGGTTGGGTCCGTCTGACTTGGCCTAATGTGATGCACCCAACATTAGTAATATTATGTCGACAAAAAAATTACATAAAAAAATAAAAATAAAATTGTGATCTACACTTATTTCAAGTGTAATCGTACCCAAAATATATTTAAGTTACATTTTAATACACTTCTACTTAAATTTCTTATGTGCATGAATATTAGGCATTCTTAACTTTATTGTGAGTATAAGCAAAATACGAGTATAAAATAGAGAAGATGATTATTATATCAACAAGATTTTTTATGGGAGAATTATAAATCAGTGAATTCTTTAAAAAATATTTTCAGATACATGAAAACATTTAGAATTTTAATTATTAATATTTATAAATTTTACCGGTGATATGTAACTCCTTTTTTTTTTCTTTTCTAAATTAACAATAATTTTCCCATTTTTGCACAAGATATTATTTATGTTTATTACCTCCTTCATTATTCTTTTTAAATGAAGAATCAATTATTAGTATCCACAAAAATGGAAATTTCAAAAAGTGACACAAAAAAAAAAACACCAATGGCATAAAATATTTCTCAACCCAAAATGAAACCCATAATTTGTTAAGCAAAACCCCAGAATTTAGCATTAATTTATTTATAACCTTCCCATATTATTGTATGTGATATATTTCTTACGTACCATGTACATTAGTATATCCGTGCAGGATGGACACTAACGGAGAGTATAATTTATTTTTATTTTTTTTTGTTAAAATACACACGTTCACCTGTAGAATTAGATAAAATTATACTTGCTAGGCCTGTGAACAGATTGTATTCTGCTCTGATGTGACTATAAAGCAATCCAAATTCGAATCCAATTTGATTATGACAAAATTGATAAGTAATTATTTGAATCCAATATACCCAACCTAATTCATCATAATACTTGGGAGGATAATTTATAAATAAATTGGGCTGAGCTAAAGACTTCTTTAGAAAGTGGGCCGCACGTCGGACCGAGATATGAGTTGTTGTGGCTCGGTCTAAACACTGACGAAGCTTGGCCAGGAGAAGTTTGGGCTGAGCTATGGGCCAAGGTGTTTGGACTTCACAAATTGGATCTCACCCTTGTTAGCTCGGTCGGGGCTACTGCGGTTAGCTTGGTCTAAACAGCCAAACCAAAGTATAAAGGAGCAGGGACCGAGCTAAGCGTTGTATATGAAAGCACCAAATTGAGTATGTTAAAGGGCCTAGTGTTAGCTCAGTCATACTGTTATTCAACCATGGTAAAACCATTTCACTTGGTTTAAGCAGTGAGGAGGTTGTTGAAGGATAAGCATTATCTTTCAGAAGTGTGATTCCTAGGAGGACTCTACATTGAGGAATAAGAGTCCTAGTAGGATTGTGCCAGGCAAAAACTATAAAAGCTCACAACAGAACTTATGTACAGGTATTACAACTTTGATTCTCGAGCACACAGAGTTTTTGTCTATTTGTCTATTTTGCTGACTTAGGCATCGGAGAGATATCCGGCACACACCCACCGGCTAGCTCACGTTTATGTTTTCAGGGAGTAAAGCAACGACGTTTGGAGGAGCGCAAACTAGATCAACAGGATTATACGAGAAGATTATTTCGTGCTCGTACAATTAGCGCCGTCTGTGGGAAGTGGACAAAGAACAAAACCTCTTAATCAAGTTCTCTTCTCTAGTGGAAAGCAATGGCGCACGATGAAGACTTGCCACAATCTACTGTTGATGGGCAAACCCCAGAAGGGGGTGGAAGGTACGAAGGTTTACTTTCCATCCCACCCATGGCGGATTTAGAACCCTAGCGACGGAACTCCCCAGAGGGACGCGAGGGAAAGACGGGGCACTAGCCCCCGTCGCTCTCAAAGTCCCGAAAGACAGAGGAGAAGGTTGGACCCTCAAGTTCTGGAGGATCGCGTTAAGGAACAAGATGAATTAATCAGGAAAATAGCGGCAGACATGGAGACAATGAAGCACTAGATGAAGGGAAAAGGGATGGCGACAGAAGAGATGCGCAAAGGCAACACGCTCTCTCGCCACTCAGAAGATCGTGACAGGCAGGTCACACCATCACAAGCAGAAAGCAGGAGCCTTAAAATAGGCGACACTCAATCGAGGACTTCCAGGACTCGTTACTCCAAGTCTGAGAGAACGAGAACTGAGAGGTCGTGTACTGGGGGAAGCACCTATCGGCCCTCGTACACGCACCAGACAACATCAAGGCATACGGAGTTGCCTAGATCATCTGACTTACAAACAGTACTTGAAGAAAGAGCCCGATGGAAGGAGGACACCTAGGCTCGCGACCCACGTAGAGTTTCAGCACTACAGCGATTGGCCCCTAGGACACATGGGAGTGTCGAGGTAGGAATGCCAACGCCGCACCTTGCTTACAAACCAGCGGACAAAGTATTAGCAAGGTTACAGAGCTCGCCGTTCGTTTCGGCAATAGAGAATGCACCACTACCTTCAGGCTTCCACCAGCCCAAATTCACTACTTATGAGGGGAAAGACAGACCCCTACATGCACTTAAGCCACTTTCGCCAGGTTATGGCAGTATGCCGACAAAATGAGGCCCTGATGTGTATCATGTTCCCATCTAGCCTTGGCGACCTAGGTCTAACTTGGTTCGAAGGGCTACCAGAAGGCAGCATCGCCTCATGGGCACAATTGGCAGAGGCATTCGTGACTAGATTCAGAACAAATACCAAGACTCCGGTAGAGATTGATCAGTTACTCTCCATTGACATGGGCGAAAAAGAGACATTAAGGTCTTACAACAGTCGATATTGTGAGACTTTTAACTAGATAGGGGATTGCCCTACAAATCTTGCCATCGCACAATACAAAAGGGGTCTACCAATCGGAAACAAATTGAGGGACTCAATTACTATGACACCATCCCTCACGATGGAGGCCCTAATGGAGAGAGTGCACCAACATATTCGTGTAGAGGAAGGGGAAATTATTGGATAATCCAGGAACTCCAGGTCATCATCTTACGTGGTGCTCCCAGCCAATCAGAATACTCTATTTTGTCATGGTGTCAGTAGGTCCCATCACATTGACAACTCAGTAACTCTTAAACTAGACGTCAAGTCTGTTAACTTCTAAACAAGAAAAAAACGGAAGTGGAAATCGTAGGAAAGCAGTTAGATAAAGAATCTCAAAAAATATTTTAACCCCACAAATTAATAAAAATATAAAACAAAAGTCAAACCCTAAAAACCTAGTTCCATACACTCTGCAAATTCATCATTGCCGAAAAATCAAAAAAAGAGGAGAAAGGCAGTAGTCCAGTCCTATTTTCTGACACTATGCTAAATGACAAAGTGATGAATGGTGAAGATTTTCGAATCGAAGAAGGTATATTTTATTAATTTTTTACAAAATATTCATGATTTATGGCATATTTTGTGATATGAGATTCGATAATTATTTAGATAGTTTTAAGATGGCTTATATTGATGATATTTATGCTTCGTTTGTTTGATTTTTCAGATATTATTTTCTAAGGTGATTTTTTTTTGGTTTGTTTTTAATGAAATTTTTTATATGATAATCAATTTTTTTTTTGTAATTTTTAAATACATTCTAGATGTAAAAAAACAAAATAAATTGATTAAACTATATAAAAAAAATTATTAAAAATAAATAAAAATCCAAACAAAATTATGCGTGTATTTTTCTTTGGATTTCGTTTGTTTTTAGTAAAGTTTTTTTTATATATATTTTAATTAATTTTTTTTAACTTTTTAGATGTATATAATCTTGATGTATCTAAAAGTAAACAAAAAATTGACTAAAATATAAAAAAAGTATAGAAGAACTTTAGATAGTTTGGAAGAACTTATAGTATATTAATATGATTTTAGTTTTCAGTAATATTATTATTTGTGTCTAGCTTACAAGAATTTTGCAATTGAGTGTAATTTTTAAAAATAATATTAAGTGTTAAGAGAGTATCATGTAACAATATTACTCCCCACCAATCATAACTATTAATTTTTTATGTTGTCTTGTCAAAATTTAATATAAATTAATGAAACCTTATGAATCAAAATGGTAAAAGGCACCATCTTGGCCATATCCTCCCAACATGAAAAAATTGCTCTTGATTTAGGCCTTAAATCAGGCATTTTTTTATAGTTGTAATAAAAGTACGATTGTAGTTTCTAACATTTAATACAGGAATTATTGCAGAAATTAACACTTCTAATGATGTTGAAAGAGGTGAACGTGACTGCATGTTTGTTGCAAGGCAAGAAAATAATGATGACAATTTGTTAGATAAGGTGGTATATAGTGAAGACGAAGCATATGCTTTATACAATAATTATGCATTACGAATGGGTTTTAGTATTCGGAAAGGAAAGCCAAGATATTATAGTGGATCAAAGAACATTAGACAACGTGAATTTTTATGTTGTAAAGAGGGTTTTAAAGTAGATGAAGACCCTTTTGAAGAGAAAAAATTGAATAGGCTGGAGACTAGAACTGGTTGCAAAGCATTTGTTCGTTTAACTGTTGAAGATGGAATTTGGAGGGTTACTGCCTTCAATCCTGAACATAATCATGAACTTGCATTACAATCAGAGCGACATTTGCTAAGATCTGCTCGTCACATTTCAAAACCGAAGGCAGGTGTGATTAATTCTATGATAAATGCAGGTATAAGCACAAAGAATGCTTATTCATATCTAAGAGAAGAAGTTGGAGGCAGTGAGAATGTGGGTTTTACCAAAAGGGATTGTTATAATTATGTGAACAAGCAAAAGATGACGATGATTAGTGCTGGAGATGCTCAAAGCCTATTGAATCATTTTAAGCAGAAACATACAGAAGATCCCATGTTCTTTTTCACAGTTCAAGTAGATCAAGAAAATCGCATGACTAATTTTTTCTGGAGAGATGGGAGATCAAGGGTTGATTATGATTGCTTTGGAGATGTAGTTGTTTTTGATACCACCTATCGTACCAATAAGTATAATTTGATTTGTGCTCCATTTGTTGGTGTTAACCACCATTGGCAAAATGTGATGTTTGGTTGTGCTTTCCTTTTGGATGAAACCACTGATTCATTTATATGGTTGTTTAAATCATTTTTAGAATCAATGGGGAATCGGTCTCCAGTTACAATTTTTACTGACCAAGATCAAGCCATGTCTAATGCTATTCAGGTAGTGTTTCCAAATACACATCATCGATTATGTTTGTGGCATATTTCGAAAAATGCTCCTTCTCATTTGGGGGAATTAAATACTAACACAGAGTTCAAGTACCTTTTCAACAAGTGCCAAAAATATTGTGATTCTACACTAGAATTTCAACAAACTTGGGATAACGTGATACAAAAGTTTAGTTTGGAGAGTCATCGATGGCTTAATATGATGTACAAGATTCGACACAAGTGGAGCACTGCATTCACTAAGGATAGTTTCAATGCTAAATTTAAAGCTTCCTCAAGGAGTGAAAGTACAAATAATGTTTTGAACAACATAGCAGGTAAAACAACTAGCCTAACTAACTTTGTTATTGAATATGACAATTTAGTGGCAGGTATGCATTCTTCAGAGTTGGATGAAGATTTTCGATGCAAGCAAGGTGCCCCTCAAAAAGCAGTAAAAAAAAGTGGTATTTTGGGTCATGCAGCTCAAGTTTACACCTGTAAGATATTTAAATTATTTGAAAATGAATTTCTCAATAGTCTTGCAATGGTGTGAAAGCAAGTTGATTGTCAAGATACAGTTGATGTCTTTGAGTTGAAAGAAGAAAATAGTGAAAGGGTACGTATTGTTCACTTTGATCATCTCACTAACAACATTTCTTGTTCTTGTAAGAAGTTTGAATCATTAGGAGTTCTTTGTTGTCATGCATTGAGGGTTTTTAGTATAAAAAATTTGACTGCAATTCCAAGTCAATATATTTTGAAACGTTGGGCAAAAGATGCCAAGAAAGGGATTATGGCTTATGAACAATGTACCAATTCCATTGCGAATGCAAAAGAGGCTGAGATAATATGGCGTAATAGTATGATA